CACGTGTGCGTGTGTGCCCAAGATCCCGAGAGGAGAACAGAGGAGAAGGGATTGTGGCATGACCATCCCCCCTGGGGAGTGATTTCTCGCTTTCTGTCTGTCTCTCTCTGTCTGGCGAGCGCACGCGCCCTATAGCAAAAACCTCTCAAAAAAAATTTATTCATTAGAAATGTTTCTTTTTATAGGGGATGAGACACAATTTTATTCTTAGCTAGATGACCTAGTTGTCTTAAACTATATGGAGAATAATACGTGCTCTCCTTATTGATTTGAAATCCTTGTATATAACAGAACAGGAACATAATGGAAAAATGAACAATGACTATAAACCTGCAATTTAAAAAAATATTTAATTTTATTTATTCATTTATTTATTTAAATTTGACCAGAAAGACACACAAGAGAGAAGGAAAACGAGAAAGGAAGCCACCAGGTCCGGGACTCCAACCGTGGTTGGCCACGTGGGAGTGTCCAGTGCCTCAACCACCACACCACCCGCTGGCCCAACATGCAATTTTTTTTTTTGAGAGGTTTTTTACTATAAGGCGCGTGCGCTCGCCAGACAGACAGAGACAGAGAGAGACAGAGAGACAGAAAGCGAGAAATCACCCCCCAGAGGGGATGGCCACGCCGCAATCCCTTCTCCATTCTCCTCTCAGGACCTTGGGCACGCACGCACACGTTTCCGGCGTGGGTTTTAAGCCACCGGGTCCAGGACGCAAACTGCCGTCAACTACGTGGGAGTCTAGTGACATAGCCATTACGCTAACTGCTGGTTCCCAACATGCAATTTTTTTGAGAGAGGGAGAATTTTGCTATAGGGCACGTGTGAGACAGAGACACAAGCAGAGAGACAGAAAGTGAGAAATCACCCCCCAAGGGCGGCCACTCCACACTCCCTTGTCCATTCTCCTCTCGGGATTTTGTGCATGCATGCACTTCTGCCCAGCTTGTGATTCAAGCCTTCGGGTCCGGGACTCAAATTGTGGTTGGGCATGTGGGAACTCAGTGATGTAACCATTATGCAATCTGCTGGTCCCATAAACAGGCAATTTTTACAGGAAAGGAAACTTAAAAGCCTAGCAGGCATGTGAAGAGATGCTCAACATCCTTTGTCACCAGAGAAATGCAAATTGAAATCATAATGACAGGCAGAAATTAAGCTGGATTTATCAATGGCAACTGAGAAAAAGCAGCAGAGGTGATGCAGTAACCCTCCTGTGCTGGAGCGGCTGTCCTGGAAAGTAGTCCCACAATGTGGATGCATGCCCCAGGACCCAGTGGCTCTCTCTTGGGTCAATATGCCAAAAATATTTTCACACAGATCCAAAGGACTCATGAAAGGGCCGGCAGGTGGTGTGGTGGTTAAGGGCACTAGACTCCTACATGGCCAGCTGCGGTTCGAGTCCCAGAACTGGCAGCTTGCTTTTTCACTTTCTCTTTCTCTCTCTCTCTGTTCCTTTCTGGTCAAATTAAAATAAATAAATAAGTAAAGCTTAAAAAAAAAAAAGAAGACATATGAATGAGGGTGTGGATAGCTGCACTGTGATGGTGGTCGTGGGGTAGCTGGAGGCAAGGTAGGTGTCCATCACTGAGGAGGTAAGTAAGCACAGCATGCTACTGCTGTTACTACTCTAAGGTTATAAAAGCATCATGGAGAGATCTTACATACGGCAATGAGCAAAAAAAGAAACAGAACGAGATAGACAGATTCAAAATCTATCCATGTGAAATAATGCACAAGGGCATATACAAACTAAAAATTTAGAATTTTTGTCATAGAAAGTGAGAAATGGAAAGAAAGGAATGTCAGAGAGAGAGAATTTGAGGAGATCTCGAGCAGACAAATAATAATGTGCCACAAACTGGCATGTGAGTTGTCCCGATCCAGGAGGACAGCCGAACAGGTTTCCTGAGTGAAGGAGTGAGAGCTGGGACAAGCGGCGTAGTGTTACAGCATGGAGACGACAGTGTCGTCCGTTTATTGTGGGCAGCACGGTACAGCACAGAGACGACGCAGTGTCACAGCTCTTAAGGGTCGCGTCGTCTACTGCGAGCAGCACAGAGACGACGCGGTGTCACAACTCTTCAGGGTCGTCCGGAGACGATGTAGTGTTACAACTCTTCAGGGAAGTGTTACAACTCTTCAGGGTCTCCCAGGTCGTCTGGAGACTGCGCAGTGTTTCAACTCTTCGGGCTCTTCAGTCGTGGTCTTCCTGATCTTCTGTCGATTATGGGCCAGAGATTGTGCTTATATACACATTGGTGGGCCGTGATTGGTTGAATGAAGGATAGCAAAAGGTAGGTTATGATTGGTTGCTTTGTGGACCAATCATGAGGTACCCGGATATGCAAATCTGAGGGATTCTAAGCTCACCGATTTGCTATGTGAAATGGCCAATCAGAGTGTGGTGTTGAAGGTGAGGTTTTTTTGAAGGGGAGCCAATTGTGGCCTTTGTAATTGTTTGCTCTCTGAGCCTAAGGTGGCAATAGTAAGAGACTCATGAAAAATGGCCTCAGCAGACTCGCTGGTGCATAGCCTCCCACAGTGAGTAATTCAACCTTGTTTGCCTGAAGCAAAAATTTAAAAAGAAAGCTCATCAAGCTCACCAATAATGTCCATTTGCCAAGTCAAGGAATCATCCCTATCTTACTATACTCCTTGGTATCGTTCCACACAGTTGACTACTCCCACTTTCTTTTTTTAAAAGAATTATTTATTTAATTTTATTTGTTATTGCTTTTTAAATTTGACGAGAGAGAAAGAGAGAGAGAGAGAAAGCAAGCCACCAGGTCTGGGACTCAAACTGTGGTCAGCCATGTGGGAGTCCAGCACCTTAACCATCATGCCACCTGTTGGCCCCCCAACTTTCTTGAAATGCTGATGATTAGACTGAATATTTTCATCTATCTATCTACATAATTTTTATTATTATTTTCTTTTGCTATAAGGCATGTGCGCTTGCATGAGTCACGAAGATAGTGAGAGAGAAAGTGAGAAAGCACCCAAAGGCAGATGGCCACACATGCCTGGTGTGTCTTTCAAGCTGCCTGTGGGCATCTGTGTGGGATCCAGCTGCCTTAAACACCACACCACCAGCTGGTCCCATATTTTTGTATTAAATTAACTGTTGGGGCCAGCAGGTGGTATGGTGGTTGAAGTGCTGGACTCCCACATGATCTACTGCGGTTCAAGTCCTGAATCTGGCAGCTTGAAAATCACACCAGGCACATGTGAATGCATGCCCCAAATCCCAGAAGAATGGAGAAGAGATTGTGGTGTGGCTATTCCTCCTCCCCCGGCAGCAGGTGATTTCTCGCTTTCCAACTCTCAGTCTCTCTGACAAGTACATAGCCCCTATAGCAAAAGTCCTGAAAAGAAAAAAAAAAAATTGTTGTTTTGACTTCATCCTACACAGTACTGTGAAACACGTATTTCAGATATGTACATGTGTAGGCATATATGAGTGTGTGCACAATGGGTTACAATGTAAAATAGATTATTTTCTGTGGGTTGTGGATCAGAAGCTGGCAAACACTCAGTGCATTATAATTTAGAAGACAAATGTGGATGACTAAGTAACACACCTGTAGAATAATTTGACCCACAGACCACCAGTTTGCTCTCCCAGTTACCTTGTGGAAAATAATGAATTTACATATAGAATTTACTTTGCAGGTAAATTGCGGCTAGGATAGAGTAATAAGACTGGCAGGAATAAAGACTGAGGGCAGGAAGGTCACTTAAATGCCACTAAAACAATCCAGAAAATGAGACCCGAATCTGGAATTAGAAGAGAAGCAACGGGAAAAGAGATAATGGAGGTAAAACGTGGTGCTGAGGAAAAATGAGAACATTGTAGAAGGAGCCTTTGGAATCAATTCCATCACCACCTCTGTACAAGTAGGGACACAGGACAGCAAAATATTGAACCCACTCTCAAATTCGTTTGTGACGCCAGACTGACTCAATCAGAGTCCTTGATATCAACAGTTAATCCGGTTAATGCATTTAAAAGAAGACTCGGATTACCTTCAGGATGTGAAGGGCGAGCCCTCAAATTACAATTGAATGGATTAAAATAGCCAGTAATTCTCATTCTAAATTTTAATTCCAATAAGCCTATCATCGCTCGTGCGCCCCAGCTGCGTTGCTTCTCCACCCTGGAATGAGTCACTTAGCCATCTGCTTTCAGAGTATCTCCCCTAAAATGCCACCAAGCCCCCTTGATTTTCTCTTGATTTCAACAGTTCAGGCCCTACGGACACGCCTGGAACTGTGGATTTGCTTGTTCAACTTTCCAACTGCAAAGCGCTGTGGAACTCTAGGAGCCCGCGTCCCTCGCAGTGCCCGCCGCGGCCGGCCGAGGGAAACCGGAGTCGGTCTAGGGAGCGGAGGCCTGTGGGAGTCTGCTGCGCGGTCGGCAGGGAAGCCGTGGGGTGAGCCTGGCTGGAGCTGGCCATTTCCTTTCTTCCCTCGATACTTCGGGCGCGGAGGCACTGCGCGTACAGGCACGGAAACCTCCTAACCTTCCCTGGTGTCCGCCTTCACTAATCAACTGACAGCCCCAACTCCTTTGCACACAGACCCGGAGCCTCAGTGACACGGAACCCGGCGCCATGGCCAGGCCGATCCCGGGCACCTTCCCGGCGCTTGCCCTGTAAGAGCCCCAAGCGCGCCTCGGGTTTCCGGGTGCGAAAACGAAGCTCCTCGGGAAATCCCAGACCCCTCCTTTCTAGGGAGGGCGCAGACGGCGTCTCCGTTTCCAAGGAAACAGGCCTTGTCAGTACGTCACTTCCGCCGACCTGTCTGGACTCCAGACTGTTGGGAGGAAAACTGAGCAACAGCCACGACGGTGGACGCGAGCGTCTCCTCTCTGCGCATGCGCCCGCTCAGCGGCCTGCTTCTATTTATGTGGGGGATCCAACATGGCGGCTGCGGCGACCCTGACGATGGCGGTGGAGCCCATCAGAACATAGTAGCGGGGAAGGGGGCACGGTCCGCACTCACTGTGGCGTCGGCGGAGACGGCTGAGGGTGGTGGAGGGAAGAAAAGCGACGGAAGGCAAAAGGAAGGGCGGACAAGCACGCGACGCGGCGCCGAAGCGAGCGCCGGCTTGAGCGAAAGCAGAGGGCCAGAACAGTGGGGATGGCGGAGCCGCGCAGAGTAGCGTTCATTAGCCTGTCACCGGTGAGGCGGCGCGAGGCCGAGATCCCGGGGCCCGAGCGCGAGCCCGACTACC